CACGTTGTTTTCACGCAAGCATTCCTCGAACGAATCCCTGTCCTTGCAGTGAAACAGGGCCACCCATAGCATCTGCTCCCACAGGTCTTTGAGCACGAGTTAATTTTTGCGTCAGCACCCAAACGCTGTGTTTTTCGAGAAGGCCAGGTACGATAGCATGTCTCGTTTTTTAACAATTTCCTTGTTGGCGCTGCAGTCATCTCTCATGAACAGCGTGGACTCCCCTTTAAATTTGTCGTGGTAAACTTTTAACCAGTCTTGCAGACGCGTTCCCGGATCCACTTTGTGCACGTCCGGGGCCGTCATCACCCACGCTCTCTCCGTGTATGTCTTGTTCACTTGCAAAGTCGGGCAGAGAATGTTGAACGCGTCCCGATAGTATCCTTCCAGCATGTTCAGCACGAAAGCCGTTTTACCGCACCCCATCTGACCGCACGCGATGGCGCAATGCGGATCGCGAGGCAGATCAATATCAATCTTAATAGAGGGCTTGCACGAATCTTCCATTGCCTATATTAAGCTGCACATCCATAATCACGTACAAATATAAATTTAATGCACCAGCGGTTTGAGCTTTTTTGGTAATTTGGATCTTAATACCCTTGCTTCGTAATCCCCTCGCTGACGGTGTCGATGCGACGTCTGCTCCAATGCATGTTGATCGCATGTCCAGCCACAGCATGTACTTGGTCGTGAGGTATTGCCCTAGTGTTACGTAGGCGAGACCGAGATCCTTCACGATCATGTTGATTTCCAATGGGCACTTGATCGCCGGTAATTTTTGGATCTCGTCCCACTGTTGGTAAGCTTGCATGCCTTGGCTAAACAGTTGATTAGGCACGCCCTCGATGGTCACTTCTGCTTTGATAATCTCGGGGTTCAAATATTTTTCGTTGACTCTTTGAAATGGAAAATATTCTTCCACCGTCAGGATCAAAATACCCTTCATCATTCGAGCGGGTAAGTTCAGATTGATATTCCACAACGTATCACTTTTATTGACGACAATCTGCCGCAGCACAGAATCATACAGGTTGGCTAGCGTTCCCGAATACTGGTTTCGAATTTGTCAAGGCAATTCCGGATTCGTGACCTTGCATAACTCCATCGAAATATTGTCAATGGCATACCTGCCCTCACCGTTCTCAACGTAAACAACCTGGCTATAATCGTTAAACATCAGTTCGTATTGCAGCCTATCGCCCAGCGCGACTTGATAAAATGGCATGTGACCCTCCAGTATTTCGAAGTCGAGCGGAATGCAAATCGTTTCCTGAACGCCTCGGCTATAGCCTTTTGTTTCCTCGGTATAGAGGCGAGATGAGCTTGTTCAAAAGTGTACCCCACGCGCAACCGAGTTGATGGACTGGACAAATGCCTTGGTATTTCATGTTTTCCCGTTCACTCGCAGTTATCCAGAGCCCGTGTAACTGGAAAATACGTCGCTGTCGTAGATGCTGAGGATCTTGATCCAGCTGATTATGATCATCTTGTTTTTCACGATGGCGCGACCCAGGTTCGCCACGATTTCTCTTTTGTCATTTTTGGATTCCAAACTGATCTGAAAAGACAGGGGAGCAGTCATGGGGACGATGACGTCGCTCTAGTCCAGGTTGAGGAATCGCACCAACAGCGTTTGGTTTTCATCGATCGTGCTCAGGTTGTTGGTGATCGTCATGGATTGACGAATGGCTTTCACACCCAGGGGTTCTCTCAATCATCGGAAATAATCTAGTTTTCTTCCGACATTATTTATATGACGTGAAATTTGCTTGTGTACAATTTATATTTTCAGGCAAAAAGCACCGGCTTGAAACAAACACTTACAACTTTGTGATGCAAAATGACTCAAAATTAATGGTCTGCAGTGATTTATCGTCCTTCTTGAAAACCGTAAAAATCAAGAATGACACTCCATGAACGTGTATGGGGATACTATGATGTGTGCGTGCATCCCATGCGTTGTGTCTAGCGGTGATGAATAGGAAAATGGTGGTGCATTCATAGGATGTCTGCCTTTGAAAAGTTTGTTAACGCTTATACTTTCTATCCAAATTGACAGTTTATGTTCCCCTACCTTTTTTAAAGAGTATATTAAAGAGTATATGAAGAGATGTCTCAAACGGTATGATCAGCAAAGAGGTGAAGCATCACTACATCTTTGGGCATCTCCCTTATCTGCCACAGCAGCTACTGCAACAACTGATAACATCCCAGAGACTACTCAATACATATCAGTATAGGACACTGACTAGCATGGTACACAATGCAGTAGTACGTGGGCAGATCGATGATGAACGTGAAACGTCAATGCCTGATAATAACCAGTCTCGATTATCAAACGATTGATATCTGAATAATTGTCCTTCGTGTTTACTGGAAAATGTGTGTAGGTCTACAATGTGATAACTTTCCTCTTGATAAGTAATGTGTGTCGCGGATGTTGTCATAAACGGTATGATCTGCAATGAGGTATCACTATATTTTTTTGGCATCTTCCATAAATGACTCAACTGCCACAGCAACTACTGTAACAACTAATAACCTCCCAGTGGCTGCTCATTACTATCAGGATAGGACACTTACTAGCATGGTACAGCAGGGCGTTGTTTGGAGGTCACAAATCAGCACCCCCTAACAATGCAGTAGCACCTGGGCAGATCGATGATAAACGTGAGACGTCGACAATACCTGACAATATAACCCTTCCGATTATCAAACGAAACATATTCCACTGGGTGTGGAAAGTAGAGGAAACTAGAGTTAACAAATTTGAGTAAATCACTGATAATCAGTATAGACGTCAGGATTTCACGAATAGCTCAACTACTCTAACAATGTGACAGGTTTTTTCCGTGTTGTTGCAACTGTTACACTTCACATGCCCTTAGTGTCACATCTACACAACCCTGGGCCCCGTTCCTCAAAGCGATCATAGCGCTACGACTGTCGTAAGCCCATGTTAAAGTATGGGAGTTACGATCATCTTAGCGCTACGATCGCCTTGTGGAACGGGCCTGAAGTGATGGCGATATACTACCTTTTACGCAGACAGTAACCTGACAATATATCAATGCTAACGAAGAACTTCAGAGCTATACACTCCTGGCTAATTTTGAAATGTGTTGTTGCTGGTGTGTGTGTGTGTGTGTGTGTGTGTGTGTGTGTGTGTGTGTGCGTGCGTGCGTGTGCGTGCGTGTGCGTGCGTGTGTGTGTGTCTTGAGGCTGTTTTAGAGGTATTTATACATACACAAAATAGCCACGACGTAACATATTTAGGAGACATATGTTACCTGTTCCAACTGTGGTTTAAGGTGCATATCTTTAGGCGCCACTGCTTACATTTCTGACGGTTGGTCAGCTCGACATCGAAAGTCTTTAGAATGGGTGAAATATTGTTTTGTGAGGACCAGTTTCATTTGTAGTCTTTGGAAAAGGCGCGATACACATTTATATGCATGATGAGCACCTTTCTAAAACGATCTCGCTATATTTAAAGTATCTGAAAGGCGGTGTCAAAGATTAACGGCCACGGGTCTGTTACTGGATCAAGCAAACACATATGACCTGCATATGTATATCACCATCAATGATCAAACTAAGGACAACAACTGTTTATCTGAAATGTGTTAAAGTAAAAAACGAAATAGAGATACGAGGCCACAGTTTGCGGGGTCAAAAAGAATTTCATGTGGCTTAAGAGCTAAAGGTACTAAACCATTTTAAACATTTCTTTTATTCGTATTCCCACTATGAAATGCATAGGACTAAATTTTGAAATGAGTAAATAATCACACAAGATCAGTTGAAATAGGACATACAGAATTAGGTTTATACTCAAGAAAGGTAATACCATAAATCATTATCACGTACTCTTTAAAATGAAACTCGCAGAAGATGGGAATCTGGATTTTTCTTGTTCATGAAACATCTTTTAGAAGCCCGATTTTTAATATGGATAACATATTTATTGCAGTGGGTGCGACGTTTCGATGTAGATGGATGCTAACACCGTTATCAAGCAAGCTATAAACAAAACTATGGTCAAGGAAAATATAATATGAACGATAGTGGAGTTATACAATTATTTTATTCGTGAAACGCTGAATACACATGCAATATTTCTTACTAAACGATGTCAGTCACATGTTCGTTAATTTTATTAAGCTATAAGTATTATACAGATATGAGTGCATGAACATGACATGGAAAGAGTGTCAAAAGCAGAATTAGCGTGACCGTTGTCACACTTATGTGCGGTGTTGATGACTTTAAACGGTCAAACAAGCGATGCGGCGTCTTCGACATGGTGTCCTATGTCAGGCCAGTCTTCCAGTCACACAAATGGCTGTTGTACCAGAATATGGAAACGTTCACCAGATCTGGCCCCTACTGACTATCAGGTGTTTGCAGATTTGAACATTGAAACCATACAATGACTTGGTTGTTGATACAGAGGGCTGGTTGATGAACTAGCATTCGAAAGACAAAAACCATTCCACTTCCAAAAACATGTCAATGAGTTATTTCAATTGTTCGAAAACGTGGTCACTCCGACAGTTCTTATTTGACCATCCACCGTAACCCGCGCCTATATGAGAAAGTACTAGAATATGATGGTCTGCACGGAAGATACTGCAACATTAATAGCTTCATGCGAGTTATGTTTCACTTGAATAACAGCAGGGATCAATCTTAAGTGCGGGTATTTAGGGTATTTTCGTACAGACTAAACTCAGTAGTATTAACATACGTTTTTGATTCTCCCGCTTTCTCGATGTCATGATTATTAGAACCAACGTTGACATAACATGATGTTCCAGTTGACACATTCTGATCATTAACGTATTCGTTGTTGACATGTGGGTATTCGTTTTCATTAATGTTCTCAAGACTGGTAGTTGTTGTCGTGTTAACATACATGGATCCTTGTTCTGACCATCCCCTTGGTGTTCTGTAGCTTTGTATGATCTGGTACCGAGTATGATCAGAGGGTTCCGCTACACACATTTCATAAGATGGGACAACTGCTTCTTCAGCGTCTCTGGCTTGGGGCCTTTTTCCTTTCCGTTTCCTGAAATATCGAATTATGGGTGAAACGACCAAACCAAATTCCTCTGACAGAACAGCGGTACTCATGTCATTCATATTCTACTTCTTGACAGAGGTGTTTTAATTCTAAGTGTCGACAGAGCCTAAGATAAATAGTTCCCTCTGCCCAAATGTGCAAAGTATAGTTTCTTCTCGTTAAGGAGGGACTTTACGTCAGGGTGTTTTGACGTTATCGTTGTCAATAGCAAAGGGGAGGAAATTTGAACAGAATTTTTAGGTCAGCCTATCCCCGTTAATCTTTCAGCGAAGCATTTTATTATGCTCTATTATCATAACCTAGACAACATTTGTATCACGAACATAATACTTTTCCAACTGTTGATAGCTGCACCATACCTCACACACACAACAGCAACAACCGCAACAACCGCAACAGTGACGACACCAGCAGCCACAGCACCCACGACAGTGACGTACAATAACGGGAACCTGCTATCGGGGGACTCTGAAAGTGTAGAGATACATTCAAGCGTGGAAATCGAACACATTACATATTAACACATTGAACAGTTAAATCTGTGTACATGAAATAGACATTTGTTTGCCGTATTGATATCTTTTTTAACAATGACATGCTTCTTTTAGCTAGAACACAAACGACTTTTGCACCCGTCATAATGCAGCATAATGTAATTGAATACTGCTCCTTCAGAATTGAAAGAGGTATTTTACGCCCCTTTGCAATAGCACCTTACATATGACCTGCTTGATTCTTAATCATATAACCACATAGTATATATTATTTGTAATGGTGAAAAGTTTTACAGGCGTGCCGGGTTTGCACGTGAGATAGTACCCACAATGTAATACTTGCATCCACATTGTCTTGCATCCACAAATACAATCACAAAAAGTCAGCGATATAAATCGGTCTTGATCATCTGCAGTGATTAACAATAGTGAAAGGCTCGAAGGGACATATTATCATAGTTTTGGCTGAGTATACAATTTAACTGTTGTTTATTTCATTAATGACATGTGAACATGCACTTACAAATTCTGCTGTTGAATTGTCACGTGTAACGATAATCCTTCTCCAAGTCTGTTTCAATACATGCAATATCAATTTAAACTGGTTATTGACTGCGCGTACCTCTGCTATGACAAGAACTACAACCTGCAAAAATTTAACCCGTTCGTCTTTGAAGAACCCCCCAAACATATACATCACTTCCTTTACCTGCTGCACCAGATGGAGGCGTGGATGTTTCCGATGGGTGTGCTGTCGCTGTTGGTGGTGTTGCCATTGTGTTGGATGTTTGTGCAGTAGTGGACATAGTGACCCACAACGCTGTACCTATTGATGAAGTAGTCACTTTTGTCGTAGACAATGTCTTGGATGTTGTTGGCATGGTAGTAGTTGTGGAAGAAGACATTGAAGAAGACGTTTCCAGCGGTAGAGCTAAACAAACACATGCATATCTTTCTATATTGATACGTAGCTTGAATGGAAGGTATTTCTAATGCTACACATGTGTCTGATTGGAAGCGGTAAAGTGTCTGCAGTCGACAGTATATCAATATACTTAACCAGACCTTAAGCGTTCGGCTAATGATACTGATTCAGATATCAGTTTCGTGAAGATATACAACCGCACACACAGTCAGATGGATTTCATCTAACGTTGGTGTCATATATCCTCAAGTTTGACCAGAACACATTTCTATAACACCCCATTAAAGCCAGCGTCCTGGTGGTGTTTGTGAACGTCTCGTGTATTCAGACTAGGTACACCAAAGTCGAGGCCTGTTTTGCTTGTCTGGTTTGTTCACAGGCGCATGAGTACTGCTGTGCAGTGTAACACAACAACATAGTTTACAAGTTTGTGAGTGACGGGTGCTACCGGTAGAACAGGACATGATTATCCTTTATGCGATCATCTTATATAATTTTAACAGATATTTTGTAACTTTCTGTTTTCGGAATTTGTTTCTGAAAATAGTCAGAACTGGGTCTTCTTTTGCATTGACGTTCTTTGTTATCATTTGATGATCTCATGAGTGATCTCATGAGTGAGTGATCTCATGATTTCATGAGTGATTGAGTGAAAAATCACGAATATAAAGTCACATCGGCAATATTTCAGCCATATCGTGACTACGATCGTATGACGTGTATAGCTTTAGTCTTGATATTAAGAATATTTTGAACTTTTGACAATATTATATATTGCTATTCATCAATAGAAGCGAACCTTTCCACATCCATAAACAAATTCTGTTAAAAGCAGAGTCGTTTGTACAGTTGTGACTAAATCATGAGTATACACTCGTATCAGCAGTATTACAGCCGTAAACAATCGACTCTGGCCCAGACAATCCAGCGATCGTTGCCATGCGATACTATGACAGAGCATGTGTCCATGAATCACTATGAAATAGTGGTGATCCCGGGTTTTCACGAAAAAATTTGCGTATCGTGCCCCACCGGTGGCACCCGTCATAAACACATGCTAAGTCTAGTCAGTTGTATAATTCGGGAACGTATAGTATATGTCAAAATTGCATCGGACATTGTTTTTGTCACTGATGCATCAAATTTGGAAATGTCCTCCCCATGTCTACCATGAAACAATTATTGCCCAGGGGGATGTCTACTTCATGGCCAAATGTTTTACCCTAAATTTTCCAAAGGTGTTATCAATGAGAAATATTTCACACAGTGTTTTCTCTGTAAACTTCCAATGACATTTGCTTTCATTTTTGACAAAGTGTCCTGAGTGAGTGAGTTTAGATTTACGCCGCTTTAGCAATATTCCAGCAATATCACGGCAGGGGACACCAGAAATGGGCATCACACATGTGGAGAATCGAACCCAGGTCTTCTGCGTGACAAGCAAACGTTTTAACCACTAGGCTACCCCACCGCCCCACAAAGTGTCCTGAACCTCTGAAGATAGGTGTGTAGGTATTTCGTTGTTCACCGCGTTTGTTTATGCCCCATTGATCAGGGAATGAATGTTTCCCTTAACTTGGTCATATACAACACTGCAATGTTTCTGAGTTTTTTAGAATCCACATGGTATTAATTCCGCATGTCTTAAAATCTTTCTGTGAATATCGAGAAAGACCTAAGTCCTTCCTTGATAGTATTAAGGATTATGGCTAATCTTTGAGACAGGGATTTGGTGATACATTTGCTGGAACCAGCAATATATCTCTCCTTGCAAAGATTTGTATGTAGTTTTGGAATCAAGTACAAAAGAGGAATGGACATGTCTTCAGGTTTAAGAGTCAAGTCAAACGTTGATAACACCGTTGAATGATTTAGGCAAATACATATATTTCTCGTACCGTATATTTCCACCTCGCAGAAACTCAGATTCAGCATCCCTACTGTAGGTTGGCGATATATCCGGAGATGGATCCCCGTCACGGGTACATCACACTCCAGGGTGTACTCTGCTTCCCACATGTAGGAAGAGTTCGCGGTGTGACATATTCTTCCATCTACAGACACATGTACGTCATCCTGTTGATCTGGAATATGTTGAGAAGAATGAACAAAATACCTTACACTAAATACATATTCGGGTGTGTTTTAGCGTTGCTGTAACATAATAGATTTCAAAGCTGGTCAATTAATGTTTAAGATGTCTCATATAAAGTACTAGTCTGACATAAGGACCTTGTCAGTATTAGTACTATTATATTTGTCCGTATTAGTACGCATTCGTTATTTTGTGTTTATGGTGACACAGTACCTTCCCAGAATATCCTGATCCTGCTAACGGTCCTGTTCTGTGTAAACTCTACCTCCCATGCTGGGTATATGGACGAGACTGATGCACACGGCCCTGACGTCACACCATCAGTAACCCAGGATGCCTGCCCAGTGATGTTGTGAGCATTGTTGTCCCCAGACGTAAAGTTACTCGCTGCTATATTAACTGTAATAATAAACAGTATCATTATCTGTGGTATGTAAATGTACATTACACAACAATATCGCATGGTAGATAGGAATTATTTTACTTACTGGTCATAGAAGTTTATTTTATGCTGGACCCGTGAAGATCCGGGATTGAATAGGTCTTCAGCAAGCCATGCTTGCCACAAAAGACGACTGTGTTTGTCGTAAAAGGCGACTTACGGGATCGGGTGGTCAGGCTCGCATGTCATCGGTTCCCAATTGCGATGATCGATGCTCATGCTGTTGATCACTAGATTGTCTGTTCCAAACTCGATTATTTACAGACCGCCGCCATATAGCTGGAATATTGCTGAGTGTGGCGTAAAACTAAACTCACTCACTCACTCACTTATATTATGCTGACTTTCATTTTAAGTTGTCCTTTCGAGTTGTAATACCTTTAACATGCAAAACCTTTCAGCATTAGCATATTGTTATTGTTTTGTGCTTTCCGGACATGAGGCATGAGACATTACATCCCTTATCTTGTGCTGAATGACACCTTGTAAAATACAAATACGTCGACTACTTCTACTCTCTTTGTCAACAAAAAGTGACTATATGCAAATATAAGCAATATAACACCTAGTGACGACTTGAATGGGAATTACATTTTATATTGATTCATTGACTAAATGGAAATGTTAGCTGTAATAGGCAAAGTGATACTGTCAATTATATGAATGGATCACTGACAACCAGATGTGCACCGTGAACAAAACATCGATATCAACATTCTTCCCCTATTTGTTGAATGACATCAGGCAAAATACTGAATACAAAAGCTGCTACATGCTGGTAACAAGTAGTAAATGTCAAGGCATAAAATTAATGTGCTGATACAAATAGTAAAATACATAGCAACGCCATTTGAGAGCACATGAAGTATTCTAGTGAATCATTGACAAAACATATTCTATTGGCTGTTATAGGCAAAATATTTTATGAACAGGTAACTGAAATTCAGATGTAAACTGTAATCACGACCTGCCCTACCTGTACCACCTGTAATCAAAACAGTGATATCAACGTTACCTAAGGTACAGTCCTGGGGGCAGTTGGAGTCTTGACCGGACACTGTAACACACATATACCTTGATTTAATATGAATATCGGTTTATACATCAGTCAGTAACAAAGGTAAAACTCAGAAACATCGTTTCAATGTGCAATGTATTTGTGAGGTGAGGTGAGGTGGGGTAAAATTAAATTGGGTTTAACGTCGTACTTGAGAATATTTCGCTCATATGACGACGTGCATGCGTGTGTATGTGTACAGCGGGTGACATTCGTGCTGTTGAGGCTAAATACCACAGACCATGTGTGCAGAAGTTCTTGTCAGGATGCGGCAGAACTCCTGACCTGCCCTATCTGTAGCAGCCGTAATAAAAAAATAAGCAACAACGTTACTTAAGGTACAGTTCTGGGGGCAGTTGGAGTCTGACACATCAGTCAATAACAAAGGTAAAACTAAGAAACATTTGTCAATGTGCAATGTATATGTATTCATAATTAAAACATTTTGTAAGATCTATGTACATTTATGTCTCCAATTACTTGGAATGTAGATGATTCCTCATTGACATCTGATCTATGTGTGTGTCTCACCTTGACTCCATGCCTGCATCAGAATCAGGTAAACAATGGCGTTGATAGTAACCATGGTTCCATACGTGCTGTTTCCTAAATGAAAAGGTACAGGTCTGGGGGCAGTTGGAGTCTTGGCCGGACACTGTAACACACATAGGCTTGGCGTTGATATGAATGTCAGCTGATACATCAGTCAATATCAAAGGTAAAACTAAGAAACATTTTTCAATGTGCAATGTATATGTATTCATAATTAAAACATTTTGTAAGATCGATGTACATTTATGTCTCCAATTACTTGGTTTGTAGATGATTCCTCATTGGCATCTGGTCTATGTGTGTGTGTCTCACCTTGACTCTATGCCTGCATCAGAATCAGGTAAACACTGGCGTTGATAGTAATCATTGTTCCATAGGTATCATTGTTATTGAAAATAATGTGTGACGATGACCATACCATGGCGTCCGTTAAAATCGGACTGGATCACAAATGATTACATTCTTCCTCACCAGTGAGAGTTGTTACAGCCTGCACATCAGTGAGAGTTGTTACAGCCTGCACATCAGTGAGAGTTATTACAGTCTGCAAATCAGTGAGATCAGTTACAGTCTGCACACCAGTGAGAGTTGTTACAGCCTGCACATCAGTGAGAGTTGTTACAGCCTGCACATCAGTGAGAGTTGTTACAGTCTGCACATCAGTGAGAGTTGTTACAGCCTGCACATCAGTGAGAGTTGTTACAGCCTGCACATCAGTGAGAGTTGTTACAGCCTGCACATCAGTGAGAGTTGTTACAGTCTGCACATCAGTGAGAGTTATTACAGTCTGCAAATCAGTGAGAGTTGTTACAGTCTGCACATCAGTGAGAATTATTACAGTCTGCCAATAACGACTACACTACACTGACGTGGCTGTATGTATTCGAACGGAAATGTGACGTTAAATATTAACTCACTCACTCACTGGAACGGAAATGATAACAAGCAATGTTATAATGAGGTTTACGAGGCGTATAAAGACCTGTACAACTACGACACAGTATGAAAGGCACAATACATGCGCAGTCCTGCATCAGGAAAACTAATGCTACTCTGTTTTCAGAACATTTTGATAAGCAGATAATGTCAAACATTTATTCACAATCCAGTTTAATCTGTATGATAAACTATTTTACGTGTTAATGTTTCTGTGTTTACAGAGTGAGATCGGTTCAACATCAGTTTACGCATGTTTCAGTCATGTCGTGGTTCAATCATGTCATGTCGTGTTTCAGTCATGTCGTGTCATGTCATGTCATGCCTAGTGTCGTTGAGATGATACAGACACCACACGAGCATCAAAACCATGATCTTTATCAGGTCGAAGTGTCACGTCTAAAGGAAGCCTTGCCCTTATCAGCATTAGATTGTCCTGCATCAGGAAAACCAATGCTACTCTGTTTTCAGAACATTTTGATAAGCAGATAATGTCAAACATTTATTCACAATCCAGTTTAATCGGTATGATAAACTATTTTACGTGTTAACGTTTCTGTGTTTATAGAGTGAGATCGGTTCAACATCATTTTACGCATGTTTCAGTCATGTCGTGGTCCAGTCATGTCGTGGTTCAGTCATGTCATGTCGTGTCACGTCATGCCTAGTGCCGGAACGCTTGAGATGATACATATGACACATCACGTGCATGAGCATGGCGCAAAACCATGATCTTTATCAGGTCGAGTGAGTGAGTGAGTGAGTTATTATTTAACGTCACATCGGCAATATTTCAGCCATAACGTGACGAGAAAATATGTGACATTGAAATGGAATATAGGTACTGATAAGCCTTTCTGATCAGTAGGTAATACCGTTTATACTTTTTTGTAATGGAAATTACATTATAGTTTAAATAATTGATCTTAGGTACACTTCTTATATATGACATACAAGGAGAGACAGCTTATTGCAATAAAACACAGACAGGTGTGTTCACATAGCTGCACAAATTTCATTATCTATACTTTCGAAAAAGATGATTACAATGTATTATTGATGTGAAGTCCTGTTTTAAATGTGTAAATATGCACATACTTGGTATTAGAGCTGTGCTTCGTAGTCTAAGTGGAGAGACGATACATCCTGATACCAGTTTAATGAGGCGAGACGATATATCATGAGTGAGTGAGTTAAAGTTTACAGTCACAGTGGCAGTATTTCAGCCATATCGTGACTACAAATAGTTATAAATTCATTAAAACCTGTGCTACTTTCACACACACACACACTTAAAGAGCTGTTGATCTCATAAAATTTCAGCATTTCATGTTGAAGATCGTACAGTTAAACATGTTCAGCACACCTTAAAATACATTTGAAACTGAAGTTTCCTTTGGGAAGTTGTGTTTCCACACCAATTCGTTCACAAACAATTCAATGTAATTTATATCAGAATTTAGAATCACTGAAAAAACTCTTAAGTCTGCTGTCTAAATTGTATCTTATCTTTGTTCTCTTTCTTAACAAAGCTAAGACATCATTCATAGTTGTGAATAAATGGTGTTATTTGTCAAACAACTAAAACATATTTCAATTGCTTGAAGACAAGTATTGTACAGTTCACAGAGTTTGAAAAATGTTCACACTCTATCACTTCTACACCAACTACTTTGTTCATGTAACAGATACAAACAAATATTCCTACTGTCCAACCAACATTAGAATGAGGTGCGCGAAAGACGCGTTTGTTAAAGGAGAGGGGGGAGCGTGTCGTGAACTGATCCACTACCCACTCGAAGGGGGAGCAGGTGTGAAAACTTCGGGCACGTGATTTTTGTGATCCTTGCAGTAATCACTTTCTGCGCAATGATTCGGAAATGTCGTGTTTCTGTTCGAGCATGTGTATACTAGTATCTTGTAAAGTGGACTGTTAAAAGAGTATCAAACTCTGCAGGTATTTGAAACTTATCATGTCGCACTCTAAATTGGGTAAACGGGGTCAAGTCATTCATTAACAAACACGTGGGGTTGCCTACAATGTCATTCAGTACATGTGTACTATTTCCGACAGCACACACAGTGCACTCAAAAAAGCCAGCGATGCTACTGGTATATCTGTCAGTACCGTGCGCAAAATAAAGGACGAAGGTAAACAGGGGCGTAGCTACCATTATGAAAAAAAGCCCGGGCTCACACATGATTTTGAAAAGTTGGGCAAGCTCTCAACACTAACTAAATATAAAGCTTTGCAACCTACCGGGCTTACACGAAAAAAAAATTAAAATTCTTTCTTTCTTTCTTTTTCTTTCCTTTCTTTACTCTTCGATGTATTAGTTTGAACACTTCGATGCATTAGTTTGGACACTTCGATGTATTAGTTTGAA